GCACTATTCACAATAGCAAAGACTTGGAATCAACCCAAATGTCCATCAGTGACAGACTGGATTAAGAAAATGTGGCACATATACACCATGGACTACTATGCGGCCATAAAAAAGGACGAGTTCGTGTCCTTTGTAGGGACATGGATGCAGCTGGAAACCATCATTCTCAGCAAACTATCACAAGAACAGAAAACCAAATAGCGCATGCTCTCACTCATAGGTAGGAATTGAACAATGAGATCACTTGGACACAGGAAGGGGAACACCACACACCAGGTCCTATTGTGGGGAGGGGGTTGGGGGAGGGATAGCATTAGGAGATATACCTAATGTAAAAGATGAGTTAATGGGTGCAGCACACCAACATGCCACATGTATACATATGTAACAAACCTGCACGTTGTGGACATGTACCCTAGAACTTAAAGTATAATAATAATTTAAGAAAAACTGCTGAAATTAGGAAAGAACAAATCACAAATTTACTGAGAGTGACTTTCACTTTAACAATACAAGGTAATTAGAATCTACTCATAAATATCTCCCATGACAACAGGAATACTTCATGTAAAAAAAAATCATTTTCATAGACAAATCTTTTTTTCATGATCAATTTTTCCTTTTGTTCATACTGTATCCTTTTAAGGTAAATACTTATGTCAGGCCTTAAGTTTGCCATTTTATTATTTTCTGTTTGTTTCTTCTGTTCCTTGTTCCTTTGCTTTTTCTTGTTTTTCTGGGGTTACTAGAATTTTTTAGGATTCCATCGTGATTAATTTATAGAGTTTCTGAGTTTATTACTTTATATAGCTTTCTTAGCGGTTGTTCTTGGCAATACAATGTACATATGTGATTTATCACAGTCTACTGGTATCGACATTTTACCACTTTGAGTGAAGTGTGAAAACCTTACTACCAGTTAGGTCTCTACCTTGCCTACTTTTAAGTATAATTGTCTTGTCTTGAGTATCAGATGATGTTATAATTTTTGTTGCAATCATCAAATATGATTCATGAAACTCACAAGAAGTATAGTTTATTGCATTCTCCCACTATTTCTTCTTGTTTCACTGTTCTTTCTTCCTTCCTGTTACTTCAAGAGTCCTTCTTTTATAATTTCTGTTTAAAGCAGGGGTTCCCTAACCTTTTTGGCACCAGGGACAGGTTTCATGGAAGACAATTTTTCCACAGGCTGGGTGGGGGTGCGAGGAGATGGTTTCAGGATGAAACTGTTCCATCATCCGGACCTTAGATCATTAGGCCTTAGAATTTCATAAGGAGCGCACAACCCCAAATCCCTTGCATATGCAGTCCATAATAGGATTTGTGCTCCTATGAGAATCTAATGTGGTGGCTGATCTGACAGGAGGCAGAGCTCAAGCGGTAATGCTCATCTGCCTGCTGCTCATCTCCGGCTATGTGTACCAGTTCCTAACAGGCCACAAACCAGTACTGGTTGGTAACTCCTGGTTTAAAGAACTTTCTTTTGTCATTCTTGCAAGGTAAGTGTCTCACTGACAAATTCTTTTCTTTTCCTTTATTTCACAATGTTTTCCCCTTCATTCTTTTTTTAAAAATTAATATTACACTTTGTGTTCTAGGGTACATGTGCACAACGTGCAGGTTTCTTACATACGCATACATGTGCCATGATGATGTGCTGTACCCATCAACTCGTCATTTACATTATGCATATCTCTCAATGCTATCTCTGCCCGCTCCTCCACCTCACAACAGGCCCCAGTGTGTGATGTTCCCCACCCTGTGTTCAAGTGTTCTCACAGTTCAATTTCCACCTATGAGTGAGAATATGCAGTGTTTGGTTTTCTGTTCTTGTGATAGCTTGCTCAGAGTGATGGTTTCCAGCTTCATCCATGTCCCTGCAAAGGACATGAACTCATCCTATTTATGGCTGCATAGTATTCCATGGTGTATATGTGCCACATTTTCTTTATCCAGTCTATCATTCATGGACATCTGGGTTGGTTCCAAGTCTGTGCTATTGTGAATACTGCTACAATAAGCATACGTGTGCATGTGTCTTTATAGTTGCATGATTTATAATCCTTTGGGTATATACCCAGTAATGGGATGGCTGGGTCAAATGGTATCTCTAGTTCTAGGTCCTTGAGGAATCACCACACCATCTTCCACAATGGTGGAACTAGTTTAAAGACCCACCAACAGTGTAAAAGTGTTCCTATTTCTCCACATCCTCTCCAGCACCTGTTGTTTCCTGACTGTTTCATGATCACTTTTCCAACTGGTGTGAGATAGTATCTCGTTGTGGTTTTGATTTGCATTTCTCTGATGGCGAGTGATGATGAGCATTTTTTCATGTGTCTGTTGGCTGCATAAATGTCTTCTTTTGAGAAGTGTCTGTTCCTACCCTTCACCCACTTTTTGATGGGG